CTGTCGCCCTCGACAAGCTTCGGATTCTGTTGGCTCCCCCTTCCTTCTCTCTCTTTCCCACATGGCCCAAAGCCGTTGCCCCCGCCCCCTCAACCTCCCCCAATCCCGGATATTTGTGTTTTGTTTCAGATGAATTTCAAGCTTTTTGTCGGAAGCTGTCGCCCTTTGGTAAGCTTAGGAAGTTCTTCGGAATCTGTCAGCTTTTCCCCCCCGCGGTTTCTCGCTTTCCCAACCCTGGGGGGCGAGGGCGAGGGGTTTGAAAAGTTGGGAAAGGGTGGAAAACGGCAAGGGGCACCCGACGACTTGCGATTCTCTCCCGAACCTTCCGAGGGCGCCAGCTTGAGCATGGTGAAAACGGAACCTGGTTTTCCCAGGAAGCCTTTGGTAGAGACGCAGGCCACTTCCCGGGAGTTCCTGGGAAAACCGGTTTCCCTTTTTACCGTGAGACCAAACCGAAAAAAAGCTTAAAATTTGTCTCAAACAACACACAAGTTATCCAGTGTTTTGGGGGGTTAAGGGGTCTTGAAATTCATCTGAAAAAACACACAATATATCCGTATTGGGGGTAGGTTGAGGGGTCGGGGGCAACGGCTTTGGACCATGTGGGAAAGAGAGAGAAGGAAGGGGCAGCCAACAGAATCCGAAGCTTGTCGAGGGCGACAGTTTTTGACTTACACCGAATAGCTTTTTCGGGCCTTGAGCGAGCCCACGTGCAGCAAGTGCTTTCCAAGCGCCGTTGGGTGAGCTTACCAACCCTCGGTTTCAGGCGCTCTAAGAGGACCCTGTTCAGAAACGCTGTGCCGCTTCACCCTCTTCTTGACTCCCATTGCGCACGATACCTCACCTCGAAAGCAAGGATCATGGCCGGTACGGCCGGGGGCCGGACCGAGCGCAGAGGTCAAAAGTGCCGGTTTTCAGGCCCCCTCAAAAAACCTCCAACTTTGACGCCTTACAGCTTCTAAACGGTTTGAGCTACGAACCTGGGCGTGTGCTCATTAGCTTTATTAGCTCTTTTTTTACAAGATGGCGTCAAAGGATCGTGGATAAAAAATATTTTTTAGCGTTTCCCCAAAATTTGGGTATTTTCAGTAAAATTTTGGGCGTTTGGGTAAGTATTTCTCAAGATATCGGTCGTAGATCAAATCTGTGACCATATTCTTTTTCCTTGGGGAAATTTTCATAAGAATACTGATTTTCAGCCACGAGCACCAAAAACCTCAGAGTAGTAAAGAAACTCCCAAATTAAGTAGAAAAAATGGCAAATTTAGAAAACATTGGTTTTCTCGGCCAATAATTTTTTAGCGACCTAAAATTTAGGATGTTTTTTCTTACCATAAGGGCATTCAGAAAAAAATTTTTGGGCAAAAACGGAGGGGGGCATGGGAAGGCGTTGCACGTATTAAATAAATTAGCTCCTTCCCCTTCTTCATCTTCTTCTTCAATCTGGGGCGAATGTCCAAACCCCCCAGCCTCCTTGATGTCACGTCGACTTGGGGCATAATGGTAAAGAGGAGGTTCAGGCATAGTTTCTGGAACAGGCTTCTCAGCCACCCCCCGGGGGTTGTATCCAGGTCGTACCCCCAGTCTTTCCTTGACGGGGGGCGGGAAACAGAGAAAAGGACAAGAGTGTCAATACTCCCCGCACCCCCAAAGCTTCAACGGGGAGTAGCGACAAGACATTTAAAGGGGAAGCACGGCCTTGGGGTTGGGTGGCCCATTTT